TCTAGTGACATTTTAGTAGTAGTAGCTCTAGTGACAGAAGTGTGACTTTGGTTGATCAAATTATTAAAAGTTAGGAACGATTTAGATATCTTGGGTATGTTGTTCAAAGCGATGGTGATATAGATGGGGATGTTAATAGTAGAATTCAAGTTGGTTTGTTGAAGTGGAGGAATGCTTCTGGCCTTGAGTGATAGAAAAGTACCGCTTAGACTGAAAGAAAAATTTTATAAGACGGTGTGAAACCTGCAATGCTCTATGGCGTTGAATGTTGGCCTTTAAAACAGAAACATAATAATAAGTTAAGTGTTGCCGAGATGAGAATGATTAGGTGGATGAGTGGTTTTACACTTAGAGACAAAATGCGAAATGAATATATTCGAGATAGGGTTGGTGTAGCTCCTGTGATGGACAAAATTAGAGAAGGTCGTCTTAGATGGTTTGGTCACACTAAACGTCGACCATCTGATGATCTGATTAGGAGAGTAGATGTTTTAAATTCGACTTGTGCTAAGAAAGGCAGATGTAGACCTCGGAAGATTTGGGCTTATTGTATAAAAAATGATCTTAATTTACTAGAACTAAATGAAAATATGACACTGAATAGGACGCAATGGAGAAAAAAGATTCATGTAGCCAACCCCACGTAGTGGGATTAAGGCTTTGTTGTTGTTGTTGTTGTTGTGGTAAAGCTAAAAATCAATCCATTTGATAGCAATGTTATAAATCTCATGCTATATAGTGTGTGTGGCTTTTACTGTCCCCCTGAATATCTTGCCTACCGGTGATGCTATGCATCTCCCGAGTTATAAATCCCCAAAGCAACAGTCGAATTGCAAATAATGTTGCTAAGAAAGAGCCTCTCGGAGGATATGTTCAACTAAAAGCTAAAAATAAATCCATTATCCATTTGATAGCAATGTTATAAATGTTATAAATCTCATGCTAAACTCTGTGTGTGTGTGTGTGTGCGGGAGAGAGAGAGAGAGAGAGAGAGAGAGAGAGAGGGTCGGGCTCACTTGAGTTAAATTATTGACTTGAATATTGAACTTTTGAATAACCTCAATAACATTTTTTTTGGGCACTGCAGCACCTGCAATACAAAAATTGATAACAGCAGTCACTAAGATGCAATGGTTCCTCAAATATAAATATATTTTCAGAAACCTACAAGGAACAAAACGGAAATTTTCCTCAATGCCCGGCAGAAATAAAAACTCAAAAGGCAAGTATTTGACATGATAATACCATTGAGAGCCCACTCAGACTTGTTGTTAATATCAATCTTCCTCATAATTGTAATATTTTCCTCCTGAGAGAAGCCCCTCAAAGCGATCTTTATATAACCGGATTCTTCACCCCGCTTCACAAAAGCCCCAATGCTCGTAGCCCTTCCAAGGAGCTGCAATAAACAAGTCATGGAAGAGGAGGGACTAATATTCCAAACTCGGAAAAGTCTTAAAATTATTACAATATTCCACCATTTAGTAGGATGAAAACAGTATTAGCTTTACACTATAAAAATACCACAAAATGGCACAAAATAGTACCCAAAAAATGTAATTGGACTAAGTTACAACACATGAAATTTGGAATGATCAGATGCTAATCACTTAATGTTATGATGCAATTTCATAATAAGGGCTAACATGAATCCAAAAAAATTTAAAGGAATTTCTATAGAGCTTCTCTGCTGATCTGTCAATCAATTAAAGATATCTCAAATATTGTTTCACACTGAAAATGACTTTTTCTCTCCAATTTGAACTCTATTCCTGCCTGCTGCGGGCAGCAAGAACAATTTGGAATTTCTTCTTTGAATTACTGTGAACGGTAATTAGAACTTGTTTTTCCATCTCCGTAGTTTGCAGACAGCACTAGAAAGCAGATACCTTCCTCTGATTTTGATCTCCAAACCTCTGGAATGCAGCAAGCTGCTGTAATCTGCCTCTATTTCGCTGTCAAAAGTTTCCCTTATCCCTTCAGATCTTCACCAAAAATAATGCATGTTAGTAGCAACTAAGAAAACCTTTCATGACTGCAACAACAGATGTTGGAAGGTGGCCAGTGACTGTACAAAGCAGTTGGTCCCATTAGGCCTACTGGAAAAGATTGGCAACAGCTGAAGAGCAGTAGAGAAGGAAAAGAGGACTTCGAAGAAAATTGATTGATCACAAGAATCAAGCCCGTTAACAGGCAATTACAGTAGAAAATCGATTCAAGTTATTTTTCTCTTCACAATCTAAATCCCCCCCAATAAAGAAACAAACTCCATAAATTTTTAACTATCTTGAAATTAAAATTAAAAATACAAAAACATCCAAAATGAATTCAAAAATTAAAATTCATCATTATCTCTTTGCTGAATGAATAAAGTTACCTGGTCATTCTTATCTTAATGTTCTTTTCATCATCCAACCAACCAATTTTTTTCTCTTTCAATCACAATCACCAAGCATCTGATCAGTAATCTGCCTTCACCTATTGACTGTTATTTGCTTGATCTTCAATTTCTACCATGCGACCTACAAATTGCAACCAATGGTAGTTTCTGTCAAATGATTGGACTGTAAAATTCAGCATTGATCTTTCCACGTTCTGATGTCCAGTTTATGTCATATATGATCTGATTCATCATCTAATAAATCTGATCCATAGATCATAGGTCCCCCATTTAGGAGGATTTGACTCTTATGAAATTACAAGCCCATATGAGTGAAGGTTTACTGCCCAAAACCTTTGTTCATCTCTTTGCAGCACAGGGTAATTGACCTTTCTTGTCAACGCAATTAGTCACCTTTTAGGTGGCGTTTGGCACGGCGGCAGGTTGACAGTGAGTTCTCAGAATGCACAATTAGTCTATTTGCCCCATGCATCGCAGGCGTGGCAAGGTTGTGACGGGATCAAAATCGTGGCAGTGTATCGCGGCACAAGACCATGGAGAGGATCAGCGGCATGCTGCATTTCGTAGTTTAGGCCTTTTATTTTCCAATTTTACCCGTTCTCTTTTCCAAATTTTCCTAATGAAATCCCAGATGGAACATCAATTAGGGGATTATTCGAAAGGTATTCTGCTGCAAACATTCATCTCTCTTCACGGGTTAAAATTATTCATTGCAGGTGTTCTCGTTTTTTCTCACTTGACTACAAGTGAGGTGCCTAAAACCATAACCTCTTGTACTCTGTCACACTCTCTCTACTTTACTCTCATGGCTTCATGTGAATAACTTCGATTTGAATTTTTTTGGCATCATAGATTGTTTGCAGTTAGATTGTTTGCTCTAAAAGATATGATTGCCTCTTGATTATTTTCTTTCTGTGGTTCTACAATCATGGTATGATCTCTTTGGATTGCTTTTGGTTTTTTCTTGATTTTTTCTTTCAGTACTTCTCTGATCATGGTATGATCTTCTTTATTCATCATTTGTACGGGTGATAGATGTGTGATTTGCCGATAGTTAAATGCTGCATGTGTTACCTAAGAAAATCTTCTCAGAAATATGGTTTAGAAAAGAAATTGAAGTGTTAATATAGAAAAACCCTTGGAGGGGGGAGAACATTTGGCAATGCCTAATTGCACAAATCCACAAATTATAATGTAAATGTAATTCAAACTTTTTACAAGGAAACATCAAAGAAGAGGAGTGATCGAGTTTTTTAATATTCATAAATCCCAATTTTGGGACATGTATGATAGTATACCTTAACTTATCTGTTTTATCACTTTCATAATCATGACACCAAAAAGATATATTGTTAACCATATAAATGTGTTCTCATGTAAGGTTTTAAGTAATCCACTGAAAAGTTATGGTTTGGAGGCCTATAGGAAATTTTCTCTTAGGTTGTGATTTTGTGCATATGAAGAAAATCACTTTTTTATATTCCCTCTCAATAAATAAAATTCTCATTTACCTCACTCCTATGATCAGAGAGAAAAAAAAATCACATGTTGCCACTGGATTCACCATTAGCTCAATGCTCAGTCCTCTACGGTGAATCAAAATTATGCTATTTTTAAGAGTTTGAAATGTAAATAAATCAGAATTGTGAGGTATGTACGAAAATTTCATATGCTTAGTTATGAGTGAAAGTAAGATTAGGAATGATTCTCATTTGCTTTGGATGGGTAGTTGTTTGTCTCTTCATTTTCCTCACAGAGCATTGTTGAGATGCTTTTTTTAAGAGAAGTGTTGATTGGCGTCAACTTCTTATTCTACATTTATGCTCATTTACCATTCATGGATAATATGGGTTTGTTGATGATTTTTTATTTGATTTTGGTCTTCTTTAACTTGTGTATTTTTTTATTAGTAAAATGTGAATGAAGGTAGATAATTTATAAGCTTGTGCTTTACAATAAAAATGAAAGCATTAATTATGAAATTAATTAGTCAAACATTTATGTGCAATGTCGTTGAAGCTTCGAATGCCTCCACTTGTGTCGTTAATGTATGGTTTTTCAAATAAAAGAGATAACTCTTTTCTATAATGAAAATGAATCACAACTGTTAGTAGCTTTGATATTTATGTGACATTAATTAATCTCTTCATATTACACAGTTTTGTGATGGGAGAATCAAAAGACGAAACATGTCATACTTGTGAGAGAGAGAAATTACGATAATATTTTATGATATATATTTGAAAGAGATTGAGATGGGCAATCGACCTACCACACACTTTAACTAAAAAGGGTGACAATATGATCAAAAAATTTAAAGAATAAATTAAAAGAGAACATGATAAGACCCAGTTAAAAAATAAATGGTATGACTTAAAAACAGAATTGGAAGGTGTGGAAGGAGTTAAAACAAGGTGCAACTAGGTTAGTCTAGTATACAAATGAAAAAAAAAACATTGATAACTCGACAGAATGATGGAAAGAGAAGTTAGAGGTAAAACTTATTCATCTTCTTTATGAACAGAGATATAGAAGCACATAATATCCACACTTTATTTCTCATTATAGGTATCATCTGAAGTAAAAAAAAATTAAAATTCCGATATAGATCCTAAATTAGAAGGTAAGTTTGATATAAAGTTTGGAGAAGTTGTTACTAGAGTTCATGCTTGGATTCCAAGCCATCAAAGTTATTGAAAGCTTAGTAAATGAGAGTCAGAACTGCGAATATAAGAATATAGTTTAGATGATCATGTTGAAATGTCATTCAAACCAGTGGTAGTAGTCATAAACGTCCTTCATCAGGACACACTGGTGGGGAAAAAAAAGATGATAGGAGCAGGATTTCTTGAGAAACAAATCTCACAACTGGTCTATAATCCCTGACAAGGGATTCCTACCTCTGTCATATCTTCAGAAGCAATGATGCAAGAACCTTATATGTTCTTGTCTATGAAAATTAGTCTATTATTCCCATTGTGAACCATGAACATTATGGTTTGTAATATTTAATTCAATTCATGTATTTGCAACATATCTATTATACCTCCATTCCTTTGGAAGCAATGATGCATGAATTTTATATGTCAACCTCTGAACATTAGTCAGTTATTTTCATTGTGAGCTATAAATATTATGGTTTAAATTTTTAATTTAATATATATCTTTTAATTTAATACATATCTTTGTAACAGACCTATTTATGATTGCAAATATAGATATTAACAAAAAAGCGACATCATAATATACTTATTGTCGAAGTTTGTTTACTGAATGAATATAACAAACCATTTTTATGTAAGTTACCATGTATGACTTCGTCATATATTAGTGATGAATTGATTGGTGAACTATTAGGAGGCAATCCAGGGAGATTTCGTCTTTCACATGTTTTGAGAAATACTTATTGATCTTTTGCATGTATCGGAAATCTTCTAAGGTCTACATAGTTCTTCTAGGACATCAGCCAAAGAAGTTTTAGGCATGACTTTATATATATTATCTCATAATATGTCAATAAGGGCAGCATGCAAGTGATTCCAACATTCAACTAAAATAATTAATAGACATTTCTTTGTAGGCTTAAATACATTTGTTAATTTATTGATTAAGGTGATAAAGCATACAGATTCAACATTTCAAATAAATCCACCGAAAATTTTAAATGAAGAGGAGCTAGCTATGTAAAAGGATTTTACAGGTGTCCCAAAAAACAGATCGTTTGATTATCATGGTTTCTTTAGATGGGCTGACGACAATGATGAGTCCGCTTCAAATAGCGATCATGTGGAGAACAGTTTTATAAAAATAATTAATAAAAAGGATTTTGATTATTTGGACATGAAGTCTAATATTATAATAATATTATTTGATATTTTAATTTTAGCTTTCGTTTATTTAATGTTAAATGATTTATATCTTCTAATATAATATATTAAACTTCTGCCATTTCTGTAATATTTTGAAATTTATTTTTAATATTATGTTTTGAATTATTT